TATTGCGCGTGGTTTGGCATCAATTTTTTTATTTTCCTTTTTTTTTTAACCGTTAAAATTATTTGGAGTTGAGGGGGAGTTGCTGTTATTTTGAGGGCCGGTATATCACCATTGGAACATTTCATTCTCCAAGATTTGCAGATTGGTTATTGGAAAAATGGCCGCTGAAATGCAAAACAAGAGTCGGATGATGGTCTTTAAGAACAAAGGGAAGGATCAAGATGTGAGTTTATAGTTTTGTTTAGTTATTGTTCGATTTTTATGGATTTGCTATTGGAATTTGTTCGGATGAGGTTATTTGGCGATAGGGGAGGGAATCCATTGTAATGTCGTATGATTCATGTCTCAAGCATTTATTCCTGTATCTGGAGGAAATAGATGACTGAGTTGTTCGACAGTAAATGAGAAATATTGTTTCGACTTATCTGAACTCCATGAACAATTCTCTGGCAATATGTAAAGACTAACAACACGATTCGTGGTATTTTGGAGTTTTCGGAGAATATCTCGGGATCTGAGTAAGATAAGGAACTTTTTGATAATACCTGTTTTGAAGAGACGGACGAGAGCCTCACAAAGGTCGTTATGAGAAATTTGATTTTTTTTCTTAGATTCGGAGTTATTCAGAAAAAATCATCTATTAACCAATCACCTTGTTACCATTTACGTTTATTCAGTTTGGGGTGAATAACTCTGAATTTAAGAGAGATAGTACAATTTTTCTTAGAACCTTTTTTGAAGGGTGGAAGGAGAGCTACAAAAAAAGTGATTATCAAACTACCCATATTTCTGTCAGATATGGAGATATTGCTCGAAAACTAATATATTAGTTGAATGCAGTAATTTTTCTTTGGTCATTCGATAATTAATTAGTTTTTGAGGAATTATTATTGATTTTTTTTTCCAATACCCAGGAGATGAGAAGACGGAGAAATGAAGTGACGGTAGAGCTGCGAAAAAATAAACGAGAGGAGACTCTCCAGAAGAGGAGGAATGTACCCATCGCTGATTCCACTGGTAAATTGAATTTGCGAATTGTTTGAGATTCAATTGGTCGATGACGTAATGAGATTTTTCACTTTCAGATGAAGACGATATCGAGAGGACTCTGTCCAATATTAATTTGGTGGAACTTGTACAAAAAGCTGCTAGCCACGATCCAGCGGAACAATTGCAGGCAGTCCAATCTGCTCGGAAATTATTGTCCTCAGACAAAAATCCTCCGATTAATCCACTGATTGATAGTGGAATTTTACCAATTTTAGTTCGCTGTCTTGAGCAGCATGACAAGTACGCTTGTTTATACTCTTAATTATTCAGAAATGATCATTTCACTGCAATCCTAAATTGATTTTATCTCATTTTTAATATATTATTATTAAGTTAATTAATTCAGAATTTCGATTGACGGGTACAGTGAAACAAAAATGTCGGATTCACTTTGTTTGAAAATTCGAAGTCTTCTTCGAGACAACTTGCCTGTTCATCTCAATTTGAGTCAAGTAATTCAGAAATTTTTCCTTCACTGGAATTCTACATTTATTTAATCTAAATCAGAATTCTAACTGGAATCTTTGAATGCGAATTTAAATATGTATTAACTTAGTTGAGAATTCCAACAAAATAACAATATCTGTATCACTTCTTTAGAAAATTGAACGTCTCATTCTAATTCCTCTTCATGAAGTCATCAGAACTTTTTTCTCATCGAGCATTTCCAAAAACGCGTGAGCTTCCAAGATTTAAACACCACAAACCCATAAAACCATCAGATCAGAACCAGTCGTACAAAAAACTTTCCTGAAATCCCATGCTGCATCTATCCAACCTAACTAATTGTAAATAATTAGTAACAATTCTCTAAATTTTAAAATTGCAGCCCCTCGTTGCAGTTCGAAGCAGCTTGGGCTCTGACAAACATCGCCAGTGGTACCTCAGCCCAGACTCAGGCAGTAGTAACAGCAGGTACTGTACCACTGTTCCTCCAGCTGCTGTTGTCGAGTCAACAAAATGTTTGCGAACAGGCCGTATGGGCATTAGGTGAGTCCATCAGTCATTTCACCCAATCATCTCCAAAAATTCCTTGAAATTTCATGAACAATTTTATCTGAATTTTCAAATATATGAATTCGATTAATTGAATTTCAATTGAAAACACGCACTAAATCTCCCATTTATCATGAAATTATTCCTTGAATTTTCCACATTTTCACGGTTTTTGCCTCCGAATGGAGACATTGTAATCTTTCAATTTCAAATGTGCAATTTCTCATTTTTAGATCACTAATTTTGGGATCGAGTGTCTACATAAAAATTTTTTGTTGACGCATATCAGTTTTCCCACGCCAATTGTCGGTCTAATGTTAGTTCAATGCTGGCCCATCGTTGAATGAATTGATTCCCAAATTCAATTGAATATCCCAAATAGCATTTACTTGACTGTATCACAAAATTGAGATTGAGACGACCATTCCGGAATGGTCTTTGTTAGGATGCCCTTTGTTAATTTATTATAAAAAATAACAATAATTAATATAACTGGTAATGGTAATTTCCCAACATTGTAATAATCCTGATGATTGCAGGGAACATAATCGGTGATGGACCAGCGCCCAGAGACTACGTAATCAGTCTAGGTGGTGTAAAACCCCTGTTACAATTCATAAAACCAGACATACCAATAACATTTTTGCGAAACGTTACGTGGGTTATTGCGAATCTGTGTAGGAACAAAGATCCACCACCACCATTGCAGACGATAAAAGAGATACTACCAGCCCTGAACCATCTGATTCGCCACTCAGATGTGAATATTCTGGTGGACACAGTCTGGGCATTGAGTTACTTAACAGACGGTGGTAATGAGCAGATACAAATGGTAATCGACAGTGGAGTTGTGCCACGTCTGATTCCCCTACTGTCCCACAAGGAGGTGAAACTACAGACAGCAGCACTCAGAGCTGTTGGAAATATTGTAACTGGTACTGATGAGCAGACACAGACTGTTCTCAATTGTGGAGCACTATCTCACTTCCAAAATCTTCTGACACACACCAAGGACAAAATTTGCAAAGAGGCTGTCTGGTTTTTATCAAATATAACAGCTGGCAATCAGCAACAAGTTGGGGCTGTCATCGAGGCTGGACTACTTCCTCTCATCATTCGTAATCTCTCAAAGTCTGATTTTCCGACGCAGAAGGAGGCTGCTTGGGCCATCAGCAATTTTACGATAAGTGGAAACAGGGATCAAGTTGCTAGACTCATTCACGAGGGGGTTATTGAGCCTTTCTGCGATTTATTGTCCTGCAAGGATACTCAGGTTATTCAAGTGGTGCTTGATGGTATTCATAATATGCTCAAGCTCGCTGGACCTGAGGTTGAGCAGCTTGCTAATATGATTGAAGAGTGCAGTGGATTGGACAAGATCGAGCAACTCCAGACGCATGAGAACGTAGAAATTTATAAATTAGCCTATGATATTATCGAGCAATACTTCTCTGAAGAGGTAAATATTTATTCTCTTATTACTCTCAATCTAGATTTCGAAAAAATTTAATTTATCACTCAATATTTACTCTGTTTAACAAATTTAAAAATTAATTAAATTTCTCAATTAATTGAACTGTTGAGATAATTCTTTAGGTGAAATTAATATTTTATATCAATTTCATACATAAATTCAATTATTTTCAATTATTCTTTTGCCAATTGGATATGCCATAATTATTGACATATTCTGTATATTTAGGATGAAAATATGCTTTTTTTTTTATTGAAAAACTGATTATTTGTCGGTGATTGATAGAGTAAGGAAATTATAAATTGAATGGTACTAACGAAAAATTTGGTTTTAATAGACCGAAGACACAAACCTCGCACCCCAGGTTACCGACGTGAATTTCGAATTCGACTCAACAACAACAATTCCAAGCGATGGCTTCAAATTCTGAGACAGTGTTACACCAGTAACAGTGACGTCACTGACTCTGAACGAGTATGGAGCCACATTGGTTTACTTTACCTGCAATTATAATACCATCAATCTGCTCCGATGATAATTAACGAGGCGCTGTTCAATACATTATATTTTTATTTTTTTCCTCTAATAAGATAATCGAAACTTCTCGCCCATTATGTTGAACCAAGAGTCGCTGATGCACGTGTAAATTCTCTAGATAAATAACTGACAATTTCTCCTTATCTTTGGAAATTTATTGGAGCTTGAATTGTTATTTTTCTGTCAAAGTTGTCTGTAGAGGATTTGTCGTATCAATTATGTGATCACAAATTTATGTTCCATTTTTTTAATATAATAATCTGATATTTCATTAATGCACTGCTTTTCTATTTCCCTTCTCGAGACTTGGTTCAATAATAATAACCCTAAGAGAACGAAAACCAGGTTTAACAACCGTTCATGTATATTTTAGGCATGTTAAATTTATAGTTAATATTGATTATCAGAATCAAGTGGAATCGACTACTCTTTCATCAGTAGATTATACATATAAACGGATGTTCTGTACCGAACAGCAACAATAAAACTGTAGCATAATCAACTCGATAATCATCTCATTTGCAATTTTTTTCATTTAGCTGCCCCGCCACGATTGAATTTTCAGGATAATTGATAAATTGGTGTTGATTTCCATTGGTTTTGTGGTCATTCGATTATTTTTAATTATTCTTTTGCCAATCCCCGATTTTTAACGTATTTTCATTTTTTAAAATAAAAAAGGTAGAGAAATTGAGTGCAAAATTCTTGGACAAAATTTGCAAAATAATGGAATTGAAAAGTGAAAAATCATTGATTTTTTTCCATTAGGTATGGCTGGATGAAATTCAATTTTTAAAAATGGATTAATCATGATTTTTTTCAGATGCGCCAAAAAAGAATGAAAAAAAAATGAAATTTTAAATTACAATTCTAATTTGATAAAAACAAGGGCTAGATTTATTTAGTAATTGAATGAATTTCAAGGAAAATTAGAGTATTTCCTTTATTTTTATTAATTTACATGTATTCAATGAGATATTTCGATTATTTCTTGTCTGGAACTTCGAATTCTATCGTTGGGGCATCAAACGGATGCATTTTTTCGTCCCACACGACGTCTGGAAGGGGCTCGTCACCTGGGACATACGTGGGGAAAGGTGGGGCATTTCCTTTTTCGCGTATTCTTCTCCCGTGGAGGAGAGTGTCGTACATGACGAGGAGACTGTTGGTTTCACCAGGAAGGGCCTGCCCCAGCACCCAGAGGACGTTGTGCTTGTGATCCACACGTAGAATCTGGAAAATAAAAATTGTAAAAAACCTGGGGTCAATAATTCTGACAGAAATTTTACCTTTACTCCTCTGAAGGTTCTGTAGCGATTCCCCATATGTCCGGGGAGTTTAGTTCCTGGCATTACTCTAGCCTTTGTACCACCGGAACCGATGTTTCCAGGTCTTCTGTGGGTTTTAGTCACTCCGTGGGTTGCTGGCATACCGTGGAAACCCCATCGCTTCATTACACCCTGGAATCCTCTGTCCATTCTGGTAAAGAATCAAATTTGTTAATTATATTTACAATAATAACAGTTTTTCATTTTTTTCGTATCAGTGGATAATTAATTAATCTGTAATTAAATGATCGTTCAGGTTTTTAGGAAATTTTCGAAGAAAAATCGAGAATCAAATGAAATAGAACTTTCATAATTTTAATTAATTTAATTCATCTCAATTAGTTATAAATCACCAGTGTCGAGATCTTTAGTAATTTTCCAATTTAGATAGTCCTTTGTCTATTCTAATTGATTATAATTTTGTGAATTCTAATTGGTTATAAATTATAAGAATTATACGATCCAACGATTAATTTTCATTACGACTAATTAAATCTCATCAGTAATTTTCGAATTTAAATCGTCAGACGTATATTATTCAGATATTTGAGAACGAAAAATGTGAAATACCTTAGAGACCTTTAAATAATTTAGAGATCAATGATTATCAATAATAATGAATTACGTTTTCGCTCTAATATCGACGACATCGCCCACTCTGTAATGTGCAGCATTGAGAGGAGTTCCTGGCTGGAGTGCAGCATCAGGTGTCACCATGAACCGACAGATGAGTCTTTTGGGCATAACACCAGCATCTGTGAAGAGTCCACAGTACTGTTTGGTGAATCTCTGGGGATCAACGCTGTCAGCTCCCACCAGGAGACACCCTTTCTTCTTGTAAGGGATGATAGTTTTGGCTGATGGCTGAATTAGCGGTTTCCATTCCTCCGGTGAAATGTATTTGATTACATGGTTATCACACACGTGCAAAAGAGTTGTCAGAACTTTTTTTCCATCGCTCGTCCACATCGGGTAGATGCCAAGTTTTCTCGCAATTACTCCAGTACGACGAGATTGTGGGCTCCACTCTGTGGATGGCTCGATGGGGGGCACCTTCAGGGGAGAATAAGATCCGCTCTGAGGATCTGCTTTTCCATATCTGGATTCTATCACCTCTTGTATGAATGAAGTGTTCTCTTTTGTCAGGTCGTCCTTGCTGAGCTGTCAAAAACAATTTTTGCTCTTATTTGTGTATTGGTAATTATTTATACTTTCTAGAAGGGAAATTGAGTGATAGGAGACAATGAAAGAAATAATTTTCAGAGAAGAAAATTAGTTGTTGATAAATTATTTAAGAAAAAATCTTTCTTCCCCCAAAATTAGAGTCAATCAATCATGATTTAGAGAGCAATCCATTAGTACAGTATTTACTACTTTAGTAATTTATTAGTTTATTGTTAATTATTCGTTATTTCTGGAGTGATATGAACTGATTGGAAGTGAGTGATATGAGACAATGAAACAAATTATTTTCAGTGAAGAACTTTCATTGCTGATAAGTTATTTGAGAAAAGATCGTATTCTCCCCGAAAATAGAATCTGTAGTGAGTTTCAAATATTAGTAAATATTAGTTGAATGATCGGAAGACAATTAATAGAGAGTCGGAGAGAATAATTTTCATGGGGTGAATGTGAAATGGAAAATGAATTTCACTCACCACACGTTCCTGTTTCAAAAACCACAGGGGGTGGCGTTTTTTTGGGGGTGGATTTAGTTTTTTTGCTCCCCTATTTTGCAGTGTCACCACCTCAAATCTGAAGTAACAATTAAATAAATAAAACAATTTGAATTGCTCCAAAAATCAGGTGTATTACCTCGGTTTTAGGATATTTGTGTAAATGTTGAAACCAGAACATGCTTTGAACAATTTCGCCATAATGTTATCTCGAATATATAATCCTATTGACACTCTCAGCAGTTTGTTATCATTCGTTATTTATTAACAAACAGAATCACTGGCGTAACCACGATTGTTGGACACCTCTCATGCGGTTGCACATGAAAAAAAAATAAAATTCGACAGTGGAAATGACAAGAAGCGACATCTGGGGATTTTTATTAATTTGTATTTTTTTCTATTTTAATATTTTCAGTATTTAAATTATGTCCAATAATAGCAACAATTGATTGTGCATTGAGACTGGAATGTGAGAAAATATTTTCAATTGCACAATACTTATGTTACAATCAACATTATTCTCCATAATTGCAACAATTAAAATGGTTCCTCAAGGAAAACCAAAAATTTATTAAAAAAAATATATTTCCACATTATAAATATTGAAAGGAGGTCCACTAAATGATTAAAAATTAATTATTCATAATAATAACTAATTATTAATGAAAAGAATGCAAAAGTTGAGTTAAAAATTGATTAATCACCCTGGCGATTTGAGAACCATGCCATTGCATGGATGTGCATGGATGTATATGGATGTGGTTTTGAGGGGATAATACGGTCCGAGATAATCACAATATGATAAA